TTTTTTTTTTCCTCTAAATTTACATATCTGAGTTTATAGATATGATGAAGTGATTTTGTTTTATTATTATTATTATTTTTTTTTGCAGATCTGTTTGGGCTGAATCTGCTATTCAATTTCAGATCTGCATTTCAGCCTTCTCCTCTTCAATTTCTGATTTTTTTTTTAAGTTGTTGATGATGATTGTTATTGAAAACATATTAAATTGTTGATGATTGTTGCAAAACAGATTAAATTGTTGTTCTTGTGTTGTGTGTTGAACAAAGAAAAAAAAATGCTCGGGGATTTTTCGGGGTCGGGGAAACCCGATCCGCATTAGGGGTAGGGGGCGGGGACGGGAGTGGGGAGAGTGATAGATTCCCCGCCGGGGATCAGGGTGGGGACGGGAATTTTTTCACCTTTGGGGATCGAGGACGGGGAGTGCAATCCCCGGCCCCGCCCCGCCTCGTCCCGTCCCGTCCCGTCCCGTTGCCATTCCTAATAGAAACAAAGCAGAGCACTGGTATATTGTTCTTGAAATATAAAAAAATAGTCATTAGAGCCTATTTGATAACTATTTCGTTTTCAATTTATATTTACAAAAATTTTAAAAACTGTCATAAAAATTTGTTTGATAATTTTTTTGGTTTATAAATGGTTAAATTCAAAAAAATGAGTTTACATTGCTTTTTAAACAAAAATTTAAAATTTTGACTAACAATTTTTTGTTTTCAATTTTTTTTTTTTAATTATAATGTGTATGATCCCATTGTCATAAATAACAAAAAATAAATATAAATATTTTAGGCATGAACAAACATATTTTTTAGTTTATGTTTTTAAATTTTTTCAAATATTTTGTTCAAACCAAACACGTTTATAATTTATATTTTTCTAAAACTAAACAAGAACTAATTTATAAAAAAAATTGTAAACATAAACCAAAAATATAAACTTTACCAAATGCTACCTTATTGTTGAAGGTTATGGGTCTTCAATACTTTAGAGAGAGAAACGAAAATGGGTTTAGATGTTGGACTTCTTGGAACAAATAAATAAATAAATAATAAAAAGAGGAGGGATAAAGACGAGTATTTTGTGCTTTGTTTGGAGAAAAAAGTTTGGTTAGTATGGTCTCTCAATGTTCTACAATATATATATATATATATATATAAAGTAGGTCAAAATTATTGAGATTTTTTTATTTGTCTCCAAAAGGAAACTAGAATCAAAATAATAAAGAAAAGTTGCGTGGCCCAAGCAAGATATATTTTAGACCCCAAAAAAGTTGATTTTTTTTTGAAAAAAAATCAAAGGGCACAAACGTGTGTTTACCAAATATGGCATAGGGATAAAAATAAAGATTCTTTCTTATCTATTTTAGTTGACAATCTTATCCATAAAATTATGATGAGTCATCAATTTTATCTAAAAGCCACATGAGGACAAAATATTCTTGAGGGTGTGATGCGAAGCATGGTCGAAGAAGTGGAAATATGCATGTTTAAGAAATTCAAAATTTTCCATACATATAAGGGGCAAAATTTAAAAAAGGTTAACTTGAGCCCACTGATTAATTGGGCCCCATCGAAGTCTAATCGGAAAGCCTAAAAATTGGTGAGCTTGGAGAAATTATTGTCAAATTGGCCAAGTGAATTCTATCGAACGGACCCATAAGAAAGCCAACAAATTGAGCCGAGGAAGACCCATCAAGCATATATCTCTAAAAAGAGTCCAACAAGCCCATCTGAGGAGGCTCAAATCATACAAGCATCCGAGAAGGTTAATCGTTGTTTTCAGAAGAGATGAAACCCTTGGAGGAGATCCATTCTCCGAGGTAATGGCTTTGTCTTGAAAGGGTTTGGAACCACGAACCTAGAGACCTATTTGAGCTCGGACTCAAAAGGGTTCGGATCTAAGAACATAGAGATCCTAAGCACTTGGCTTTGAACGGATTCAGACGCAATCTAAAAGTCACTCCATTAATGAGTCCCAGAACACTTGTGGGCTCGGAGCTTTCCGGAATCTACGCACCAGAACCATGGACATGTTGGAAAGGATCTGATCCCGAGAACGGTGAGTGGAGATAAATTCTATAGTGATTCCGGTTTTGACCTGACTCTTGTTGTATCCCGAACTTGAGTTTAATGGTTTTATATTGTTGGTCATATCTTGTTTCCCTTGTGTTTCTTTGAATTTGGCTATTGGATTGTTGTGGTTATGTTTGGAACAGGTTGGTTGCTTGGTTTTCAAACCTTTTGTTACCCAGGATTTTGCTCATACGCTCACTTCTTGAGCTTGAGCGGGCTTTGTGAACTCTCAGTACTTTTGCAGATCTGCAAAACTACTGGGAGGATGTATTCTACGCTCGAGCGGCGTTTTCTACGCTTGAGCGGTTATTCTTGGGCTCGAGCGTTGTTCTGTTATCTGTAAAACTACTGGGAGTGTGCATTCTGCACTCGAGCATTACTTCTTGCGCTCGAGCGGAACAACTTATTGTGTCTGACGCTCAAGCGTTAACCGTTGCATTCGAGCAAACTGTGCGTATATCAGTTCGCAGCAACACCTTTTTACATCACTTTTTCATATATTTTTCACTCTAAACCCTAGATCGGGACCCTCTCTCTCTAAAACTCAATCTCTCTCTACATTTTCACCTAGATCCATTGGTTTCCCTACCCTAGTGTCTTGCGAAAAAAGATAGAGCATCTCAAGAGCTCCGTTTTGATCCGAATAGGTCTTGATTTCAGCATCTTTGAAGTTCCTCCACTTCTTTCTTGGTCTTCTAAGCTTGAGGTAGGGACTTTCTAAAATCTCCTATGATTTTTAACTTAGTTATTTGTTGATTCTGTAAAGAATGTTAGGTTTTTGAGGATTTTAGACAAACCTAGGGTTTTGATTTAAAATAAAATAAAAATAAAAAAATGTTTTCAAATGAAGGTATTGAAAATGGTTATGGGTATAGATATGAGGATATGTTGTGTTAAATTTGTTGATTTTGACACATGGGTTGGATTTGAGAGAAAATGAAGTTTTGCCCTAAAATGTTTCAAATAATTATTTTGTATAAATAATAAAATTGGTATTAGGAATATGAAATTAGATTAATGTGTATATGAATGGTGGAGTCAGATGTGCACTATCTCTCACCTATAGAAATTTGGATAATTTATCTGTTTTGAAGATTGTATATCTATTTAGAAATATATGTTTTGGGCTATCGGTGAAAGATAACTATGATTATTGTAAAAATTACATAAGGATTATATGAATTAAAACTAATCTCTTCACTATTGTCATTGAATATGACTGTGTTTTAAATACATTGCATATGTATGATATTTAGGAGGAGAAATGGGATGTACTCCATGTTTGGGAGAAGAAATGGGATAGACTCCATTGAATTAAGTTGGCCTGTGGTCCAGGGTGAAAGTCTCAAAAACTGCGTGTATACATGGATGTCGATTCCCGCGGACAAAATTTTCGTAAAATAACAAATTGAAGTGTTTGTGTAATGGTTGTATTGATTAGAGAACCGCTGAGTTGTAGCCTCAGTTGAGTTGTCTGGATAATAATGAATTTGACTCATGAATTGAGGTGAAATGAATTGAAATAAAATAAAATAAATTAAAGGTTTATTTTTTAAAAACAAAATTACCACCAAATATTTGGGTGTTTCAAAACAAAAAAAAAAACAAAAAAAAATCGAGTTCTATAAAAAAGTGATTTTTTTTTAAAAAAAAAAAACTACTTTTCAGAAAGAATTGAAAGCAAAAGCGCAACGAAAAATGTGCTAAATTTCCCGAAAAATGGTAAATTCACTTTTAATTTTTGGCAATATATATATTTTCTTGCTTTTCCTTCTTTTGAGATTTTTTTTTTTTTTTGGTATAAAAAGAGAAATGGAATTTGGGCACCATATCCAAAAATCATTTTCAACCATTAGATTTGGATAAAAGAAAATTTAAGGTATTAATTAGTAAAATTGAATACAAAAAATAAAGTAATTTTTGTAATGTTTATCATCAAAATTTAACTTTGCTCACCGCACAATATAACTAATTATTTACCATTGTAACCTTATTATTAAAACCAACTGTACATAGCACACCATTTGATCATGCCTATTAATTTTTTTCTTCATAGATATGCAATAAAATCATATTTGGATTTTTATTTTCATTATTTATATTTTGCTTAATTTTCAACCACTTTCACTTTCTATCTTATTTTCCATTCAAACATTTGTCATGTTACAGGGGCCGCGAGCAACACGGTATGTTCCTCAATTATACTTCACCTCAGTCAGGGTACTCTGCAATGCAAACACCTCCGAGCACTTCAATCCAAAGAAAGATGCATCATTTCCAGAAATCAACCTCAAAACAGGTGAAATTGAGGGACTCACAGGGGGATTGCCTCCCTCCAACCGCACAGTCCTAGCCTTCTTCGCAGGTGGTGCACACGGTCTCATTAGATCTACATTCCTCAAACACTGGAAAGAAAAAGATGAACAATTACTTGTCTACGAAACTCTCCCCGAGGGAATGTCTTACCCTGACATGATGAAGAAGAGCAGGTACTGTTGGATCATAATTAAAATTTTAAACATAAAGTTTGTATGAAAATTTTATTTGTATATCGTTACACTTTTTTATTTGTGAAAAGTTGAATTAAGTGTTTTTAGTATGTAAATCCTCCAACAGGTACTGCATTTGCCCGAGCGGGTGGGAAGTGGCGAGTCCAAGAATCGTGGAGGCGATTTACGCAGAGTGTGTACCAGTTTTGATCTCACAGCACTATGTCCTGCCCTTCAGTGATGTCCTGGATTGGAACTCATTCTCGGTCGAGGTTTCAGTCAGTGACATACCCAACCTGAAGAAAATTCTTTTGGGAATACCTGAGGACCGGTATCTGAGACTGCGGGAGGGAGTCAAGCAAGTGCAGAGGCATTTTCTAGTGAACGATCCTCCGAAGAGATATGATGTGTTCCACATGATAATTCACTCGATCTGGCTTAGGAGATTGAATGTTCTTGTTTATAGTTGATTGATCAAACATTCAATTGTCAAGAATACAAAATAGTTTTTTGTAACATCAAATAAGATTAGGATTTATCATTTCAAATTAGTTAAAACTTTTCAGAAAAAAATGTTGTACTACGAATGCAACATTGCTATGTAAGAACAACCATTTAAAGAGAGCCGGGCTTTCTATTTCTTATTTCTTGATTGTGTTTTGACAACATTATTCAACTTCTTTTAACACCTAAACTTGATCGGGCGGAGGAACAGATGTAGGGTTCTAATCTCACAGAGCAAATGTCCATACAAAGGGCTACAACAAAACAAATTTTTAAATTTTTTTAAGAGGAGGCGTATTATTGTTTTTGATTTTTTTAATTAATAGTATTATAGTAAGGGATTTTTGAAACTATGGAGAGAGATGTTTGCTTTCAGCTCCCATTTCCCCTTAGATCCACTCCTAGGAGATGTTCTGGTAATTGTTTCTTGGTTGGCCAAGCATGAGATCATCTGTCTCACTTTTTGTAAATTTGATGATATGATAATATTAATAGAGAATGAGACAAAATTAAAACATATTATCAATCAATCAATAAGCTTGGAATAAATAGGAGTTTTCTATTGTCGATGTCACGATTCACCATCTCATGAATGACTTTCAAAATTTTGTTAAGGTACATTAACACATTTCTACAATCATTATTATACTATTGAAATCTTATATTGTATTGTACATATCCTTTGTGTCCTCAAGCTACTAATCTCTTTTTTTTAAAAAAAAAAAATGCAAAGTTCAAATCCCAGTATGAATGAAAAACAGAACACTGAACGGAAGGTAGGTAGGCTATAAAGAAATATCAGATTTGTCTTACGTATCGTTTGAGAACAGATAATTTTAGTAACTTTTATATTTTTTATGAAAAGATATGCATAAAAATAGAGAAAAAGATATGACAATTTATAGTGACTTTTTAACTTTTTGATTAAAATATATAGTTGACAAACGAGACCTTTGTATTAATTAAAAATAAGTTTGTGCACGAATAAAAAAGAGTTTAAAAATAAATTAAAAAATTAGGGACCAGTTTTGAAGGACATACATGACATGAAGAGACATTTTTCAATATACAAAGGTAGAAATTTCTAATGCAAATCGTTCACGTTACGGACACGCTATCATCCTCTAAACTGCAATTTTGGGCTAGTTCATGTTTTTCATCATATATGGGTCTCTAAATTTTTATTGAGTTAATTACTTAAAAATCTTATTTATAAATATTATGGTAATTCAAATCCTATCTAAGATGTTTTGAACCAATAAGTCCTATTTAGTAAAATTAAAAATATTATCAGTTTTTTTCCAATTTTTAAAACTAAGAATATTACCAATTTTGCATAATAATGTTCTAAATAATTGTTTCACTAACTAATTGTAAGAGGGGTTAATTTGAGCCCACTGATTAATTGGGCCCCATCGAAGCTCAATCGAAAAGTCCAAAAATTGGTGAACTTTGAGAAATTATTGCTAAATAGGCCAAGTGAATTCTATTGAACAGACCCATAAGAAAGCCAACAAATTGGGCCGAGGAAGACCCATCAAGCATATATCTCTAAAGAGAGTCCAACAAGCCCATCCAAGGAGGCTCAGATCATACAGGCATCCGAGGAGGTTAATCGTCGTTTTTAGAAGAGATGAAACCCTTGGAGGAGATCCATTCTTCGAGGTATTGGCTTTGAAAGGGTTTGCAACCACGAACCTAGAGACCTATTTGAGCTCGGACTCGAAAGGGTTCAAATCTACGAACCAAGAGATCCGAAGTGCTTGGCTTCGAACAGATTCGAACACAATCTAGAAGCTGCTCCATTAATGAGTCCCAGAACACTTATGGGCTTGGAGCTTTCTGGGATCTACGCACCAGAACCATGGGCGTGTTGGAGTTTGAACAAAGGACTTGATCCCGAGGACGGTGAGTGGAGATAAGTTCACTCTTCGGTTAAACTAGTCTATACCCGGGTCGAGGTGGCACGATTTAGAGGGTCCTCGAGAGTCGGCAATATTTGCGACAGGGCGTTCTCTTGAACTACCCTAACCCTTCTACAGCAAGGCGTCTTCTGAGACTACCCTTGACCCTTTGGGATGATTGGGGATCATTGGTTAGGTGTGGCTAAGAAGAAGGGTTCATCGAGAGGTTGATCTCTTCTTCAGGATTTCCCTCATCCTCGAAAAGGTCACATTCTCGGACAAGGTAGTTAGATGAAATATTCTCTATGTGCCTTGCACATGGACTCCATTTTACATCATGAGGTGCTTATAAATAGCACCCACCTATAACTTTACAATGGATAGATTTTGGAGAGACAACTCTTAGGAGATAACTAATTTCCCTTCTCCATTATCTATCTTGAGAGTGAAAGTAGGAGATCCATGAGAGAGCCTTGCTATTATTCTCCCTAACTACTTTGCCTTGTTCTTCACCCAATCTCTTATCTCCATCATCTCTTTGCTATGTGTTCCTAGTTGTGACTGTTGAAGAATCTAAGTCTCTCACCATTTCTAGAGAATTTAGGTTTTTCGGTGATCTTCGAATTTTTTGACGGGCCTTCAAATTTTTTGACAACATTCTTGAACCCTCTTATACATTTTGGCAACTCGATTGGGGAGGTGGATTGATTAATGGTCTTAAAGAGATCCATAACTTATACAACTTTGGTGAAAATGGTAGGAGAAGAAGAAGTTCACTAACAAGGATCCTCCAATGGTGGTACCTTGGCTCAAGATCAACCACTCTTGCTCAAAACCATTCAAGGACTTCAAAATATCCAACGAGAGATTCTTACTATTTAGAATCTCACTCACACTATGTTGGTGATGAGTTCTAATTTTGCACCGACGCCAAATGGAAATCAAATTGCAAGTGGAGTTATCTTCGCCAGAATACAAAATCAAACCCAAGGAGAAGTAGGTCATGGTCAGCCTGTGGCTCATGGCAACACAACAACAGCAACATATGCTCAGACCACAGTAGGCGACAATAGCTTGCCTACAACCAGGCTCCATGGTGCGCCAAGCTATGATCCAATGGTGACTAGAGGAGATTTCGGCGTAATGAATGGTGCTCCGACGAATATTGGTGTCCAAACAAATTCATAGGGCATGATTGCACAAAAGGGAGCTTTGCCCGTACCCAATATCGTTCAAACAATAGTAAACGCTACCTATGTATCGAATGGGCCTCCTTTGGCGCCAACAACAAATTTGCAAGCCCAACCTGATATAGCTGCGACATGCAATGGACTTTATGGGACCCAATTTGATGTTCCATCACCAAATGGTGAATTCAACACCATTATCATCACGTGTCTTCACCAACGGTGAATTCAACACCAGAATGGCCAAGCCACTCCTGGCTCAGTCTTTGGGTCTACAAGCCAAGTTCTAGGAATACCACCATTAAGTTCTCTCACTCAACAATTTCTCACCCTTGTAGATGTGCAAGCCATGTTCAAGCTAGAACGGAGCAAAAGAACTTTACCCTCTTTGCTTGATCCGAATGTCAAGCCACCAAACCTATTAAGATGTTGAGTTATCCATACTCGGAGGGGTACATAGTGCCAAGGTTCATCAAATTCAATGGCAAACAAGGAAATGCTCGAGAACATGTTGTTCGGTTCATCGAGACTTTAGGGATTCATGGTTTAAATCATGTCCTCTGACTGAGAGAATTCTCCAAGTCCCTCACTGACCGAGCATATAGTTAGTACACAAACCTGGCCCCAAACTCTATCCGAAGTTGGAAGGAGATAGTTAAATAATTCCACACCAAATTCTTTCAAGTGGCTAAGAAAGTGACCACACTTACCCTGTGTAAAGAAAAACAGCAAGAGGGTGAAAACATTCTCAAGTATGTGAAGAGGTTCCAAGACAAAGCTGTGGACTGTCACGAGGCTGTAGAGGAAAGCTACTTGGTCCAAATCTGTGTTAAAGGGGCATTGAATAGGTACAAGATGCATCTTGTTAACCATAACCTATCCACCTTCTCGGCACTAATTGAAGCATCTCGGAACATCAACATACCTCAGTCTCAGGAGACCGGGTTCTAGACTAGTTATAAAACCAGTTTCAAGTCATCCCGAGGACCTTCTGTCATTGCGGCTTTCGTGTCTTCTACCCGAAAGTCGTAGGGGAAGGGATTCAGAGGGCAGAAGAGAAAGAGCTACGAGGAGGACACTCCTTTTCCATGTAGTATTGAGGAGGTAAAGGCTCTATTCGAAGAATGAGTGGCTGTAGACACTCCATTTTTAACCACCCCTAAAATTTGGGTGCCTCAAGTTGATCACTCGATGATAAAAGATACGATATACGAACGTTCGATTTGTTCAGCAAGAAGAGCTTCTAAATCCCAACCTTACACCCCAATTTGGGCCAAAAATATTTTGACCAAAACTATTTCAGATCTTAAAACCCTCTCTTTCAAAATATTTTTGAAAATATTTCTACGACGTTCTGAGGCTCGTATTTTGTTTAAAATATTGCACTTTTCGGTAAACTGAGTAAGAACAAAGTGGAAATAAGTGGAAGAGAGGTGAACTCTTTGAAAAATATTTAAAAACATCTTATTTAGAGCTTTGGATTTGAAGAAAATTGGAGGAGATGGAAGAATATTAGTTGGGAAAGAAGTTGGGCATCACACCGTTAAGTGAGAATTGAGTAGGCTTCACTAAATCAGGCCTATCTCTTTGTACATTTTGACTTTAGTTGTAAGGCCACCACCATTGGAAATTGGACTTTTGGGGCTTCAATTTAGACTCAAGAATCTCTTAAAGCCGAGTCCAGATGAGAGAGATATGGTTGTTTGAAGTTAGGCATCAATTCGGTTAAGATAGAAATGAATAACCTTCACTAAAATAGTAATATCTCTTTGAACACTTAGAATTTAGATGTCAGGCTGCCACCATTGGAAAGTAGACTTCTAGGGCTTCAATTTAGACTCAAGAATGACCTAAAACCAAGTCCGGATGAAGGAGATGTGCTCGTTTGAAGTTGGGTCTAGAGGCAGATTTTCTGTGGCCGGCAGGCCACCATTTGTGGCGGGCAATTCACACTTCTGGCCTGCCGGCCACTGGTGAAAAACACAGATATTTTTGGCCAGCTATGCCCCAAAAGCTCCACCTGTTCCAG